AGTTACAAATCTTTAAAAAGTACCCTTTGCCATTTCATATTTACCTTAACTGTAAGTACAGACAAGTTGTGTTAGATGCATCTTTCCCATGTACATTTCCACATAACCTCAGCACACACTGTTTGAAATGTGCATGACCAAGAGCAGAGTGCTCCACAATTGCTCCTATCTAAATGTGATCCAATGACTTTGTGCAAGCTGAATTTCTGTATGAGGACTCCAGAAGATGGACAAGAGTGCAACAAGAATCACATAGCAGATGACTGGATTCTTCCTACCACTCATAACGCTATTAAAAAGGTCCGCTCCCAACTGCTGTAAACATTGGTAATAAAAAAAACAGTGCCCACTTCAAAACAGCACATAAGCCAAGATTCAGACTCAATTTACACTTACCACATGGAAAATGTATACTGGTTTAAAACCAGGGAGTTGGAGGGGAGCAGGTGGAAAGCAAAATCCATACACAAAAATGGCACACAAATGTAAGCCTGTCTTTCTTAAGCCATTAACCAGGTCTAAACAGATGTCAGTTAACTGCAATATTGAAATGGGCCTGCTTCACTCTCCCACTCTAAGTTTTCTTTACCCTTTGTAGAATTTCTTCAACTTAGCATTTTCAACATGTTTACTTATCCTAATAGCTGTTTGATTGAGATGTAGTACTGTTTCCTTAGCTTCAGTGAGGTATAAAAACAAAAAATGGAAAATTTTATGAACGAAAATAGAAAAAAAATTGAGAATTCTTAGGTTACTTTCCCCTTTACTCGATTATACTTTTCCCTGTTCCTCTCATTTTTGTTTTTAATGTTTTCTTTCATCCACACCAGATTTGACACCCTACAGTTCAGCAACATTAGATTTTCATAAGTACACCTTTTCTAAGCACATAATTCATGTATTTTAAAACTTTTCCCTGATCTTCTTTGGTGACTAGGTAGACAAATTTGAACAGAATAATGTTCACATACTTTGTTTCTCAAAAACGCAGTATTTATTTGCATTGATGTAATTGAGAGAAAACCACAACATCTATGGCAGAAATAATTCTCTGGGTGCTGAAACGAAATATTACTTCATATGATAAATTAATACAGAAAGATTCTAAATATTAAATATACATAGACTGGCTCTTCTTTGGAACAGACAGCAGGAAGTTTGACTGCTATTCATAGCTAAAATGAAGTACTTTCTGGCTAGAGAGAATTTGGGTACTCAGTTAAAAAAAGAATTGCAGGAAAAAAGCATTTAGTAGTTTCTGGTTTATTCCAAAAATAATATATATTCGTAATTTTACAGAGCAGTGTAAGGTTGTAACTATATAATTTATCTGGGAAAAATATTGCTTTCCGTACTGCAGAATAATTATTAAGTGCTTTGTAGACAGTGAATGTTTTGGGTAGACATTACATATGATAAACAAATGTATGCATCTGTGATCCAGAAACCCTTTGCACTTTTAACAAATAACAAGCATCAACAGAAAAATTATTTATGATCATAAAAGGAAATATCACCCAGATAGACATATTTACACATACTTTTACTGAAAGAAAGCTCAATGAAGGAAATAATGTACTGAAAAAAACCTTCAAATTTCCTAGTTTGCAATGCAGTAGACTGAAAAAGCAGCAGAAAGCAGTGCAAAACCAATCATATAAAGAAATTGTGAGCTAGAAAAACAAAGTTTTGTCAGTTCAGTAACTGGAACATGACCTTGCACAGACAGCCAAAAACTGGAGCCAGATTGTGACAAATACATGGTTTGCCAGGAAGCTGCTGCTGACGTTTGGATCATTTTAAGCATGAAAGAGTCCTGGCATTACTGCAGTGCACCCTCAGTGTAATGCTGCATTAGGAAAAGTGTGTTGTTTTTTTTTTCCTTAATGCCTGCTAACAGTGCAAAAATGCAGATTTGTTAAAAAAGCAGAATTATCTTCCATTTAACTTTGACAGGGAAACAAACAAACAGATGAAGCCTGGGAAGACTTAAATGCTGTTCTTTCTCATCTAACATCATTTCTCAGCTCAGTCAGTGCTCTACACAAAGAGTGGAGGCATGGACTTCATGCAGTGATAAGTTAGATACTCTTGTTGAACCCCAAACAATGAAAAAACAACTGTCTTTAGAACCCATGCTTATTATGTTCCATTTTCTAATTTTCTGTTTTCTCTCTTACTTCATACTTTTCCAGCTCCCTACTGCATTTCTTAGTTTTAGTTTGCATTCTTCAGATCACTTCTACACAACCTTTCACCCACCAAAAAGATCAATTAACAAAGGCATGAAATGAATCACCAATGAACTTGGATAAAATAATAAATAAAATAAAATAAAATAAAATAAAATAAAATAAAATAAAATAAAATAAAATAAAATAAAATAAAATAAAATAAAATAAAATAAAATAAAATAGCTTCAGCGGAACATGCTCCCACTCTCCCTCACCTGCGTCAAGCTACCTATAAACTGACTAGATTTCAAAATTTCACACACCCAAGTTAGAATTACATACACAAGACATTATAGGATTAAGGATTTTTGTTTGTTGGCTGCTGACAAGATCACAAACTTATCTTAAAAATCCAAAAGCTGTGCAAAGTTTCATGATTCTGGGCATACTTTTTAGTTCCCTGACTAGACAGCCTATAAATCTGGCCCACAAAGAATTGTCCTCAGATTTAAAGCCACTGTTTCTGGAAGCAACTTAAATAGAAGCAATCTCATACCCCTATCATCTGACATCGCAAGCACCCCTAAGCCTGCATTTGATTTAGAAGTTACATGTGAGCTTTGTTATTTTTTAATTTGATGGCTGAGTAAACGACAAAGAAGAGAAATTCTTCTCAACTTCTTACCTAATGAATTAATCCTTAGCAAGACAAAGGTTTTGCTGAGGTACCTACATGGTAAAGCTGTATCAGGCAAGCCTGATCTACAAAAAAGAAACCAACATCTGTACAGGGAGTTAAACCCATCTTTCCCAAATGGTGCAGGAGATGCCAGAATTTTTTTTTCTTTTTGCAGATCTTTCTGGATGGTTTCAAGTGCTGTTACACAGGGCTCTTCTTAGTGCAAGTAGAACTATGCTAGCATTTGATATGACTTTAAGTGCAGACTGTAGCTACGCAAAAAAACTTTGCATTGTACTCTTAATCTAACCTTTGTTGCATTTTGTAACACCCTATTTTCTCAAAGTTAGCTTCAAGTTTTCATCTCATTAATATTAACTTTCTACCATTTATTTCAGTTAACACTCATCCCAGCCTTCGGCGGCTTCCTTGTTTTTTAGCCAAGTTACTTAATTAGCTGGGGAAGCACTCTGCACACTGCTCTCTGGTTATCACCACAAGGTCACGAGGCAGCATACTTCTTGCTGCCTGGCTTTTAATCAACAGAACTGAATCTGCTAACTCATAACACTTTTAAATCAGTTTTACCCTCTGTACTTCCGAAAGCACTTGTGGTGAAGACAAAGATTGCCACAGGAAACACAATATGGTCTAGAGAGGAAGTAACAAGAGCAGTACCACAAGCTAATCTTGTAACTGTTAATGCTGAATGAACTCTAGCTCACAGGTCCTACATGAAATGCCGCTGTCAAGCCACTGGAAATTCATGGTGTGGAATCTTCTTTCCATGATTTCAGGTAGACTGATTGTAGCCGTGATTCTTTTCCCCCAGAATGCTAAGTTTTCGATTAACAGCAGTAAGACAATCACTTTGAAAATAACTTTTCATTTGAAAATTCTGTATCTCAGTAGATTCTGTATTAAAAATGAAAATAAAAATGACAAAAACCAAGCAAAACTATATTTTGGATATTTTTCTGTTAGCTCTGTAAGGTTTAATTTTCACACAGAAGACGATCTTGCTTTTACTGGCCACTTATTCTTCCTGTCTATAAATAAGTGATGTTTAATGTTTTCTCCAGGTGGGTCAATTTGGTGAAAAACTGGAAGAATGAGGGATATCACAAGAAGTCTTACCTTTAGCTCTCCAACCATTTTGAGCACAGCAGCAATTCTGGTAGTTACAAAGCATGATAGAACACTGCACGTTATTTTACTCACAAAATATACACACTGCTTCAGATTTTTGGTCATTTTCAACTTTTACATTACTGATATAAAAGTAAAGTTTCTCACAAAGTTATAAATCATATGTTCTAGTTAAATACAGTCTATATTTTCAAACTATTTCAAATGATTATTTTTCTTTGATGTGGTCCAATATAAATTTTAGACGAAGTTCTGAATTGAAGACTAGTAACCGTTACAAGCTGCATAAAAAAAAACGTGGCAGCAGTGTGCAAATACCTTCCAGAAAGTAGAACTACCAGGTTGAATGCAAAAAGAGACAAGTGCACAGAAAATCACAATTTAGCTACTATTCAGCCTAACTATATAGCTTATGGTCAGATGGCACCACTTCATACATACAGATACTGATGTTAAAACAATCCACATCTACCAATTTTAATGATATTTTTAATATATCTATATTCTTCATTTAACAATGAACAAGGTCAAAGATTCAAATTATGCTTGTATCAAAGAATAGAACTGGAAATCCTCTCGCTTAGTCTTTAACACATAGAGCACATCCTCATTTTCTTAAACCCAACAGACTCAAATGTGCTCTTGCAGTAGCATCCATAAAAACAGCACCATAATGACTACATAAGCTAACATACACTACAACCAACTGAGGCAACTCTTGCTCGTTTAAGAATGACGCATTCTCTCTATGCAGGTAATAAAGCTGAACTGGGACCTCCTAACCTCCTAGAAGGGAGCACAAAAAATGAGAAGTGGCCCTCAACAGCAACAGAAGAAAACTTTCTCTCTTTCTCTCCCTCCCATGAAAAGAATCAGGAGGGAGGATGATGAGATCCATCCATACGTCACAGAAAGTTTTAGCTATTTAAAAAGCCAAAAGCAAATTTACAGTCTATACATTGCTAGCACATGCAAGGCCATGAAAACATTTTTGGTACCCATGGATGGCAGGAAAAGTATAAAGCAAAGTTCTGGTGTGGTCCAAATTCAGAGGGGCAAAGGCACTGTGAAAATAAAATAGAGGAAACGTTTATGGAATTAAGCTAAAAGATGCAAAATAAGCTCTTTTTAGAAGTATCTAGTAATCTAAGCAAACTCTATTAGTATCTGAACAACAGTCAATCTCATGACAACTGAATTAGGTTTTAAAAGGACTAAGAACACCCTCAAGTATGTTGTAGGTATGCTGACTGTAAAAAGCTGGTGAATATTCTTACTGGGAGATGTAGCCACAGGAAAAGACAGTTTCAATCGCTGTATTCTATGCCTCGGGAAATTCAGGTATGAGCTCCAACTTCCTGAATTAAAGCTTCAAAGCAAACGGCGTGGAAGGCCACTTCATAGTTCAACAGCCTCCCAGGAACCCCAATGGAGCCCAAGGAAGGCCGGGCTGCCCCGCTCGGCAGGGAGGCGCCACCCCACCCTCCCCACTTGGATTGCGGGCACGACCCAGGAGCCGCCCCAGCACGCCCGTTCGGAGGACGCCGCTGCAGCCTCCAGCGGGGCAGCCTCTGAGCAGCCAAACGCCAACGGTGGCGGTAAATCTGGGCCTCTCATAAACAAAGCTGGAAAATACATTATTGCTACAGGAACTCGGTGCAACCCGGAGGGAGGAACACAACCCCAAACCGCCACCTACAAAATCACGCAGGAATAAAATACGCCACGCTAGTACTTACGGTGGGGAGCCCGCCGCCTCCGCACAGCACCAACGCTCCGACACAGAACCCCCCCGACACAGAACCGGGACGCGCAGCCAGCGGTGGGGCACGGGGCGGCGGCACGGGGCGGCGGCGCTCTCCCGCAGGACGCTGCCAGCTGCTGCCGGCGAGGCGAGGCGCCGGGACACGGCGCTCCGGCCGGCAGGGCAGGGCAGGGCAGGGCAGGGCAGGGCAGGGCAGGGCAGGGCAGGGCAGGGCAGGGCGCGGCCCGCGGAGCCCCCGCGCTCCCCGGGCAGGCTCCGAGCGGGCACCGCGCGGAGCCCCGAGGCCGCCCCGGGCACTCACCCCGGCAGCGACCGCGCGTGCCGAGGCGGGGCGCGGGGCGCCAGCGCAGCCTTCGCGGCTCCCCGGCTCGGAGCGCCGGCGAGGGGCTGCGGGCGGCGGAACCGGGGCTGCACCGCTCGCAGGGCCGGGCCGGGCCGGGCCGGGGGCACCGCGCTCGGCCGCCCCCGGGGTGCCGGCCCCCCCCAGCCCCGCCGCAGCCCCGCCGGGGGGGGGGCGGGGCCGGGCCGGGCCCCTCCTGCCCCCGCCCCCCGGCGCCGGCAGCGCGGAGGGGAGGGGAGGGGGAGGAGGAGGAGGAGGGAGGCTGGGCTGGGCTGGGCTGGGCTGGGCTGGGCCGCGCCGCGCCGCTCGCTGCAGCGCTCGGCTCCGCTCGCCGAGGAGGAGGGAGAGGAGAGGGAGCGCCGCGCCTCGCCTCGCCTCAGCCGCCCGGCCCGCGCCGCGCCGCTCGCTGCCCGCCGCCGCCCCGCTCGCTCCCGCCTCCGCCCGGCGCCGAAGATGGCCGGCTGGCAGAGCTACGTGGACAACCTGATGTGCGATGGCTGCTGCCAGGAGGCCGCCATTGTGGGGTACTGCGACGCCAAGTACGTCTGGGCAGCCACGGCCGGCGGCATCTTCCAGAGCATCACGGTGAGGGCGGCGGCGGCGCCGGGCGATGGGGCGCCCGCGGGAGGGCCCGGGGACGGGGGCACCTTGCGGGGGGCGGGGGGGGGGGGATCGGCGGCCGCCCCGGGGTGTTGGGGGGGGGGGGAGAGGCGGGGGGGCGGCGGCAGGCCCGCGCCGCAGAGCCGCTGAGGCGGGCCGGGGGGGGGGGGGGGGGAGCCGCGGCGCGGCGCCGCCTTTTTGTCTCCGTCCGCCCGCGGCCGCGGGGGTGGCAGCCGGGGGTGGCAGCCGGGCCTGGGCGCGGGGGCGGGGGCCGGTGCCGGCGCGCGGGGGCCGCGGGAGGCGGCGGCGCGGCGGGAGAGGCCGCGCGCGGCGGGGCTCGCGTAGGGCTGCCTGCGCCTGGGCCCGGCGCTGCGGCGAGGCTTACGTGCGCGGCGTAGGCGGCGTTCGTGAATGCCCACCTCGCCGCTGGCTCCATGTTTTCCATCGCCAAGATGGCGCACTGCCATTGATTCCTCCCTCCCTCCCCTCCCCCAGCCCTGCCCGTCCTCCCCCCGCTGCCGCCCGGGCCCGGGCCCGGCTCCCGCTGCCCGTGCGGAGGCGCCGCGCGGGGCGGGCCCTGCGGCACCGCGGCCCCCTCCCGTCCCCTCCCCTCCCGCCCCGCGCCGGGCCCGGTGTCGGGGCCGGGGCCGGGGCCGAGCGCGGCGCGGGGCGGCTGGGCCGGGCCTGCCGTGACTCTGCACTTTGCGGCGGCCGCCGCCTCGTGTCGCGGCCGGGGCCCGGACCCCGCGGCGCCCCCCTCCCGGGCCGTGCCGCGGCTGCCCCCGCTGCGGGGCCGTGCCCCGCCCGGCAGGGGCCGCGGCAGCCGCTCGGCGAGGGCAGGCGCCGGGGGCCGGCCCCCGGCGTTCCGGCCGCGAGGGGCGGAGGGCCGGCCGGCTCGCCTGCGCTGTGCTCGGGGTCGGACCCGGCTCCTGCGGGCACCGAAACGCGTTTGGCACTCCGTAAGTTCGGCCGCCGGTGCTTCCGCTGACGACGCCTTGGTACCCAGCACCGCGGAGGCCATGAAGGGTTTCGGGACAGCAGTTCCACCGCTTCCAGGGGCAGCAGAGCAGCGCAGTGCATACTCCTGCTAACAAAGCAGTGTGTGCTGGAGTACTTCCTGGTGGGAACGAGGGGAAGCTTTCTGTCTAATTCTCTCGGCCAGGGTCAGGACGCTTTTAAAGTAGAGATTGGGCGATGAGATAAAGGAGCACTAACTCTGGACTTTTTTCTTTGACAGCCAGTAGAAATAGATATGATTGTAGGAAAAGACCGAGAGGGTTTCTTCACCAACGGTCTGACCCTTGGTGCAAAGAAGTGCTCTGTGATCAGAGATAGCCTGTATGTTGATGGTGACTGCACAATGGACATCAGGACAAAGAGTCAAGGTGGTGAGCCGACATACAACGTTGCTGTAGGCAGAGCTGGCCGAGGTAAGCGGGATTTAACTCACTCGTAGATCATTCAGTTAACAGTATGGGCATAGGCTCCGGTTACTAAATCCAAAATCTTGTATTTAATGGTTAATCAGGGTGGGTGGCGGTGGTCTGGCTGATTAACTAGATTTTTGCCTATGATTAAACACTTGTCCTGGTTCCCCCATGTGTGATCACGGTTGGGTGCTAGGCTGTGAAACGGTTGACGAGATCTCAGGCAAGAAGGACCTGGTTATTGCAATATAGTTGGCAAATTTACTCCAGCAACTGAAGTTTACAGTAGAATACCATAGGGATACATTAACGATTTATAGTGAAATAAGCTTTTACATTGAAAATGTCTCAACTGAAAGTTTATTCTGCACAGAAGTGAATTTCTTGTATGAGCTACTTCCACTTGCCTTTTAACAAGTTCTACACTAACTCTTCTTGCACTTACTATTGAGCTCTCTGAAGTCTGTCTTTGGGGAAAAAATGCCTGTCCAATTTGGTATCAGGGAGAAACTTGCTTTATGCTAGTTTGTCTACTCCTTGTGCTTCCTCACTTAAATTCCAGCAAAACATGCTACTGAGAAGGCATTATGCTCGAATGTTTAAAAAAAAAAAAAAGCCTGAAAATACTGGCTACAAGCAGTATGCATTGTGTTCAGAATACCTAGCTTAGCGTTTTTTATCTGGCTGTAGAATAAATTGTTGATTACTGGACTTCTGCGTATAAAGTTTTTTTAAAAAAAGGCAAAATTTGTCTGTAAGTTAAAGCCAGGTGGCAAGTGTTCGCAGCACTTAAATAAAACGAGCAGAGTTCTGACTCCTTGCTGCAAATTATGAAATGCTAGTGAGAACTGTCTGTCTTAAGCCTTTTCTGAGTGAATTGCTATGGAGATGTACGATCACCTGTAGGTAGGCTGACTGCAGGATTTCCAATTACACTGTGCTTAACTTGGGAAACAATTGGGCTTCTGAGAGAACAGTGCTTAGTGTGTCTGTGTACCTGCTAGTGACATCTGCTGGCAACTTGCAGATGGTGTGTACTGCTGAAGAGCCTTACCATGTTCTTGTTGGCAAGACAGCTGGGACACTTCATCACCAGAGTTTTGAGATTAGTTGGAGTCAGCATTAAAATCTTTGTCTTATGCAAAACGTGAAGCATGCTTTATAGTCATATTATTGCATGATAAGTCTTAGTCCAGGTCAGACCCTATGGATTTTTTTGCTAGCAATAAGAGTTATTCTGGTTCTTTAGACTGACTGGCAGTGTCCACTACAGACATGACTATTACCTTTTGTGCTCCTCAGCGTCACAGTTCTTCTACGTGTACACCTACTTTTGTCCCTGACACCGCTTTTTCTCCCCCTTGTTTTTTAACATGTAGCCAGGGTTTCCTGGCTGGGCAATAGCAGATGGTGGATAGGCACTACAGTTCTTTTTTGAGGTAGTTGGTGGCGTTTCTTAAATTTTTATATGTTTTTTTAAGCGATGAATTCATGGCTTACCCGAAGAATAACCTGTGCCTTCTCCCAGCCCTGTCTACATCTGTATTTTTTACAAGATTCCTGTAAAACTAGCTTAATACCAAAGTACTAGATCTTGAATTTGAGTGTGTTTATTGCGCTGCCTAAAACTTGCATTATTTCCTTGTCTAACACGCACTTTTTAAAACTTTTTTCTTTTCTCTTTCAGTCTTGGTCTTTGTAATGGGCAAAGAAGGGGTCCATGGAGGCGGATTGAATAAGAAGGCATACTCAATGGCAAAATACTTGAGAGACTCTGGGTTCTAGTTGCTAGGCAGACTGTTAAGTACTAGGGGAAGATTGCTATTAAACTTTCCTGGCGGTGAGCTTTAAACCTTACATTCTGGAAACTTTATTAGCAATGCAGGGTGATGGGGTATGAACCTGTGTCTCCTTTGTATCCCTTTGTTGGTGGGGAAAGGTGTTATTTTTTTTTCTTTAATTCTGTTCATTTCTGTTTTGTTTCCTTGTGTACTCCAGCATTGGTTATAGTCATGGGAAAGGAAGGTGTCCATGGAGGGACACTCAACAAGAAAGCATATGAACTGGCTTTATACCTGAGGAGGTCTGACGTCTAAGCAGCCTCTCCCCATCCAGCTAGCAACTGTCTTCATCACCATCCAGTTGTGTTCAGTGCTACCAGACTGTAGATGGTAGTTTGCGTTTTTTATTTACCCATTTTCTAATGTCATAATTCCAGTTACCCTTTGTTCATTTGTATGTTAACCACTGTGTGTAACCAAATCCCGTATCTGGCACCATTACTGCACCACAAAGATGATATGCATGATACCTTGAAAAACTATTGGGAGGGGAATATGCCAAGTGTAGGCTTTGCTTTGTCTTAGCAATTAGTGTGTATTGACAACTAAAACAACTTAAATACTAAACAAGGTGCCGATTGTACAATCTAATTTGATCGATGCCTCTTCAGCACTTTGAGCAATTACACAGCTCACTAGTCTTCCTTTCATAGAGCATGGTTGGGAGGAAAAAGTGCATGCATATCTTTATTTCTGTCCCTTTCCCCTCTTGTGTTTTTGTTGTGTTTTTGTTTTTTTTTTTTTAATCCACGTATGTTTGCTTACACCTATTTTTATAGTGCCTGGTTTGTTTAACCAATTTGCCACTCAAAAGCTATTAATGTTAAATTAGTTTTGTTGTTGCACTTCACTGTAGGTTTAAGTCTCACTTTTTCTTCATGATATATGAAGCTTGTACTGCTTAATAAGTGCAATCGCAAAACTATCAAAGGGTACAGATGCACTTCCTCCCATGACCTTACAACCACCATCCCAAATGAATCCCCAGGGACATTCCATCTTTGCAATAGCTCAGGCACTTTTTTTTTTTTTTGCCAGCTCCTGTTCTGTAGTTAAATTGTAAAAGGCTGCCATTATGGACATTAGATATCCCAACATAACCATCTGGAGTGTGTCTGGTTTCAGTTTTTCATAGGACCAATTTTAATTTGCAGCTTGGGTTGTTCTTTTTTTTTTTTTTTTTTTTTTAATTAAATTGCAATATCATTGTGGAAAACTGCCACCTTCAGCTATTCTGGGAGTGCTGACTGACTCCAGTCTTTCTGCCAGATTAGTTACTGGTTAAAGAGTTCTGCTGCTCTGAAGCCATTATTCAGATGAAGGTTGGTAGTTTGAAAGCTAACCTGTCAAAATGATGCCATTTCAAATCTAAAATCTTCATTTGGCCTGTCACACCCTTGCTGCAGAAATCATGGAGTGAACTGCCTTGTGCACTAGTCATTTGAAATGTCTGTAACCAAACTCTCAGTTCAGGCACGGTACTAACTTGTATGTCCATTTAAAGAGAACTGCAGAACTCTGTATACAAAAGAATAAATGGGAGATGGTATTGGTTGGAATAACTGACTTGGCTGTCTTGTGATGAATTTTTTAATATGTATTCTGTGCCATACTATTGTTTAAAAAAAATGAACTGTTGCTATTGTGAGATGGATTTTAACTGACTACAAGGGTTTCTTTTGAATGGCACTACTTTAGGGACATTCTAGTATTTGCTTCTATTGTTGGGCCTTGTGGATAATGTACAGATTTAAACAAATTCTTGTTGCTGATTTGTCCATTTCTTTCCCTGCACTTTGTTACATCTGGGATACAGTCTAACTCATCTGATTTAATATGCATTTCAAAAAATGCCATAACTATTAAAAACACCTTGTTTACAGACAGATGAAATAAATTTATTCCAACCAAACAAAACAAGACTGTTTGTAATTTTTCCCCCTCCAACTATCCTCTGAAGCCCTTCCTCATTGCATGGCTGACTACTCTAATACTTGATCAAAGTGCAGTTGTAAGGTTTGTGAAATAGTAATAGTATGATAATACCACTCTAGTTAAAGGACAAAATTCTAAGCCTTTATAAAAGGCCTTTAATGTAGATATATCTAAATTACGAGATTCCTTTTGGCTACCTCTGCGTTTACCAGACAAAAGAGGGAGTGCATTCCCAGCTGTTCTACAGCGTTTCCCATCCTATGAAAATGCAAAAAAAAAATAAATAAAAATAAAAAAAGGAAAAACAGAAGCAAGAGGAGACCTCTGCCACACAATCTATTCAGTAGGATTAGAGCTTGTTCCCCTCTGGTAGGGAAGAGGCTTAAGGTCTGCCAGCTAAACAGCATCTATGAGGCTTCTGGTGTGTCTGCTACCAAAGTACTTTGAAAGCAAGAGTCAGGTGAAAGCAGTGTGCCTTTTAAGATCTGATAGTAAACAATGGGAATTTGAGGGAGGGGGAGAAGAAAGAAAAGCCCAGACCTTAGATAGAGGTTAATCTTCAGCTAAGGTGATGCTTTTCCTAGTCCTGACAGTGCCAGTTACTTGCTGCTTGGATGTTACCATCAAGATGCCATTGCTCTCCCCTATCTCTCCCTTCATCTTAGTCTTCAGTGTAACCGTTGCACCTACTTCTGCTCCTAGCGCCCCCTCTAACTGAAGCCTTCACGTACGCAATATTTATCTCCTCTGGCTGCTTGAGTGGCTTAGGGTCTGAGCTGTACCTTCCACCTTTAATGTCTGTTATAGTGCTAAAACTTGAAACAGACTAGAACAAACCCACAGCCCAGAACAAGTTCACTTTTGGTAGTTTCTAATACAGAGGATGCAAACCTCTCACTTTTACAGTGAAATTGTTATATCAGAATGTGTTTTGCTCTGTATCTAAATTTTGCCTAAACCAAACTTAAAATTGCACTTACATTCTGATTACAGGATTTTTATTTTTGATTGAAATTTTTCAATAATGAGGCCATCACATCAGGAATTACCTGTAATGGCACCTCAGAGGCAGGAGTAACATAAGCACATACCAAGTACTTACCCTCCCATTCCTTATTCAACCTAACGTTTCTTTATGCTCAATCCCCTGTTCTGAGCACATGTACAGAGGAGGCATCTACATTGTCACCTAGCTATAGCTACTACTTCTTGTGAGAAATCGTTGCTAAAACTACTTTCCCAAATGCTGTTCGATTTCCACAGCAAAATGGTGTCTGCACACATTATTTAACAGAATCTACCTAAAGTATATTTCTTGAATAGCCTGAATGCTCATCAAATTTGACTCCATCACGTTTAACCCCTCTACTAATTTCCAGATTATATACAACTTAAAAACAACTTGAATTCTCCAATGCTAAGAGCTTAATTTCTGATATAGGTTCATTCCGCATTCAAAGTTGTTGGGTTTTTTTCCTCCTTGCAGAAAGGTACTAAAAGAGCTACAATAAAATACTTTATCTTAGACTTTATCAGTTTAATTCTATTGACACAACAAAGTCACATGCACAGCGATGTACTTACTGCCCTTCTCTTGGTGATTAGCAGCATTAACTGGCAGGCTAGACCCTGAACAGTGTAATGTTCCTCAATATAGTCCTGCTCCAGCCAGTTCTGAGGTAACAGTTTATTAGGTCATACCACTACTCACAATTCACCACTCAGGAAAATTAATGCAGAGAAGAGGCAGAATTGCTTTAAAGTTGGGGTGGGTGTTTTTAAGGGTAGTTCTAAAGTTGTTCACTCTCTTCCCAAACTCAGGAAGAAAGATAATTCACTACTGACCAAACTGCTTCACTATTTTAAGATTCACTTCTCCCTCCTCTATCCCTAGTTCTTTATGCCCCTGTATGGCACACACTGGGAGATAAGGGAGAGCTGGATTTATGTGCAGACTACCAGGAGTTTACAAGCTTGTAATGCTAACTTCCAGGCCATTCTAATTAGTCCCTTACTTTCCCTGAAATAACACTTCTGAAGTTAAATGCCAGCGTGTTCACTTTCTCCATCCTAATCATTCACTGGCAGGTTTCAATTATACCAGCCACTAGGACTTAGCCTTTTAGATGGTCATTATATTGATTTCTCACTAAATTCATTTTTTTTATAATGAATGCTACTTAGAATTCTGTTAGATGTTTCTTGCCTCTACTGAATTCTAACTATTTACAGAAGGAATTGCATTTTGTTTTAATACCCTGTTCTATTATTTTACACCTAGCTGTCCCATTACTTCTGTTCATTCAAACACTGCCCTGGAGCTCTTCCAGTATTATGTACTGGTTTGTTTTGCTCATTAAATCCTTTCTCTGTTCCTTGGTGACCTGTTAAGAAAAACACTTGTTAGACTTGTCACTTTTTCCTGTACTCTTCCCACCTCTGAAAATATGAGGACTTATCTTTCCTTTCAAGGGTGAGTTTTAATTCCTGTCTTTGGCATCTTTTCAGAGTAGTTTATTCTCCTTATGTAAATGAAAGGTTTGGTTCAAACTTATACGAAGCTATTTATACTGGTCATACAAATAATTACATTTTGTGATAACAGTCAATGATACTATGCTATTTTATGTAGACATACACCTCAGAGGACTCATGAAGCATTTTAAATTCAGACACTAGTTATACATGTAGCTATCTACTAGATTTTTTTTTTTTCAGCTAGGTAACCAAGCATGAACCTCTTTCAAGTACCAGTGTGCTATTTGGAACATAGCTAGAGACTGAAGTTGGATTGATGGGCTTATAATAAAGGGAGGAAAAAAATTATATAAAAACAGCAACTGGTAGTCAGCTGTTTGTGGCAAGGTGAGGAAACTATGCTCCTTCACATGGTAAACTAGGAGGTCATAGTCCAAAGAAAAATCCATATTTATCTCTTCCTGTAGGTTTGTGAAGACACTGCCTTTTGGGACAGAAGATTTATCCAGCAAGTTTTAATGAAATATACAAGTTATACTCAGAAATGCAGCAATTCCTTTAATGAAGTGCTGTTCTTTTCATTCACATCCCCACTGGCAATGGCAACAGATGAGTAAACTATCTGTGGTGCAAGGCAGGAGGAGGGGCATGGGGGAGAAATGCCATCTCAGTGTTTACTACCAAGGCCTGCTGAAATGAAATTTACATTAATAGCATTAGGAAATTGGACTTTATTTTGAAACATACAGCAGGTTTGGGATGGGAACAGAGTATCTCTTGCTGCCTGCATTTCTCTGTATAGGATGGAGCATGGCAAACTAAAGTCTCCTTTCACGTTTTGTCATTGCAGCAAATACTACACTCAGTGTTAAATGTAGCATATGTTAAAAAGTTGACTTCTGTTCATGGTTCTGCATCTCTTCAAGTTTTGGGGTGCCTGAAATGCAATTATGAATAAACACATGCACTCATTACATATTAACAGCGGGAAACCTATTTTAAGAAACATCTTACAGCTTAGGTTTTCATATTTGGTCTTAACTAGACATATGCCATTTGAGGTGGAATTTTACACAGCAAAATCAAATACATTATGTTTACCCCATGGATTGGCAGTGGTTTGTATATTAATCATTATTCTTCATTATCCTTTTCCCATGTCTCATTCTGAAAATGAAACCCTCTTTGCTGTTCACCAGTTCAAGAGAATTGATTTCCACTACCAGGTGTAAGGAAGGAGGGTATGTAGCTGCACTGCACATTAAGTCAGAAATAACAAATGGGAACACCTCACCTGTAATCTCCTCAGCCCAGAATTTGGCACTTTCTGACTTTCAGAACACAAACACTTAGTCTTCAGCTGTAAAGGTGTTGGCACAGCAGACAGGAAAAATGAATAGTACTCTGGCCTTATTTCCCCCATATAGATTACATGTATAGACCTGGACTGTTTCAAGCTTCTCATCAAACTAAATGAACAAAAACTGTTTACGATGTAGCTTAGTTCCACTGCATAGTGTTGATCAGTATAAGATTTGTACTGTGATACACAGTACAACAAAGGTTAATGTTACTAAGGGATGTTCACAATTCCATGTTCTGGATCTTTAAAAATTCTTTAACCTTACATGGTAATAAATGTGTAAGTACACAATGAATGTAAGGCGTAAGTTAAATAAAATCCTTTTGATACGTAAAGTGGAAAACATTTATTAACATTCTGTCAAGCTTTCCTTATTCAAGGCCATATAAAAAAAATCTCTGCATTTTGATTATACATGTGCTGTTACTTTCTACATAGTTACAGAGGTATTATATATAATTTACTTTTTTCATGATACACTGGTAAGTACTGAGTTCTGTTTAATAGTTATAAGCACTTGTTTTCAAATCAGGTATTTGAAAGGAAATTTTTTTTTTTATATATACATAATTTAGCAGATTAATGTAGCACAAAATGCTCTTTAGTAAGAGGTGTATGACTTGAGGATCAATAGAATACTTACCTAAAATTCTATGTGGAACAAAACCTTCCCTGTTTTAGTCACCCTCTCCCCAGCTCCCACATCATCACTGAAAACCAGATTACATCATAGTAGCAAACAAAGCTAAATTAACATGTTACAGATGAATCTTACCTTGTGAACCACTTAAAACTAAACATATATATATTCTAAGTTTCCTTATCCTACGAACTGCTCAACAGGACTGCTTAAACTCAACTAGAGTGGCAAACTCCAAAGGATTATTTGGAATCAGTGCTTTGAGATAAAAGTGGAATTTCTTCTGCTTCGTTTTGATACATCAACATACAGAATATTGATCTGTTCTACCTTTTTTTTTCAGTAGTGGTGACAGCTTTTAGGCAAACTCTATACAAACATGCAAATACAGTTTTTGTTGGGCTTAAGGGTTAACACATACCATACACATAATAAATATTGCTATTGGTATGACCCAGCTGTAGCTACAAAAAGGATGAAAATTATTTCCAGCTAAATCCCATTTCAACAGACACTGACATTTAAAGTAGTCTGTGTAATATTTCTAGTTATATAAACTATTAACATTATTCATTAGCATTGTGAAATCCAGTTAAACTGTTAAAGAACACGTGACTGAATACCTGAATCAAAAATAAATCTATTTGTAATGATTAAACCATAGTACTACTACATGAACCGCTATTGAAGAAACCAGATGGATTACAAATTAAAATGTATTACCTACGTAAATGTTTGTGAAGTATGACCTTAAGAACTCTTTTGTTCATACACTATTAATCAATAGTAGTCTCAAACAATATTTGTCACTCTATAATCCCTTTCATCATTGGGCTGTAGTTGAACCACTATACTTTCTTCATTTATTCCATTTTCTGCATCACTGCTATCAATATTGTCATTGTCATCTTCCTCATATTCTGAGGACTCTGTCATGTTCTGATGGGAGTGAGATTCTGACAAAGCCCCGAAGGACTGAGTACTAACTGAGGCTAATGGTCTAAGCAAGGGGGTATTTTCAGATACTTCATTTTCTTCTTGACTACTGTCTGTTTCAGAGTCAGAGTCTCCCTGAGAAGGGACCACTTTCTGCTTACAAACGGGACATGTTTTTTTTGTTTTTGTCAGCCAGGGGTCCACACACTTGCAGTGATATGCTGTTAGAAAACAAAATACAAGTATGTTATTATCTAAGGCAAAAGGACAATTAAACCTGCTAAATTGTTTTTGTTTTAATTAACATAAATATCTTAGAATTTAACTCATATTGAGAATTTTACTTAAAAGTTTGTTGGCATGTAGACTGTATATCCTTATGTACAAAACACCTAATAGATTAGGATCTAGGACCTAATTATTGACCGTTAACACTATGACAAATACTGCAGTAAATACCCATTTCCTCTGTTGAATCAATCTGAGAGCAGCCCTGCAATGGGCCATGTTTGATAAAATCATCAACACTGGCTTTCAAGTGCAGTCAAGGCAATAATTTGTATAGCTTCAGGCTACAGGACAGACTATACCCATTCATCCACATTGTCTATGTCACTAGTAATCAACTAAATTAAGTTTTATGGATTAATTGTCTTGGAGAAAGTAAAAGCTTAGTTTTATGTAAAAGGGAACTCTGAAATGTACTTCCCTATTAAAAACAGACATTTAGGGGACAGTGTCAAGCCCAGATTTTTATTTTATTTTTTCCATATGCATATCCAAAGAAAAATGCAGAGTGGTAATGCTAGCCTTTTTTCCTTTTAAAAAGAAAAAAAAAAAAGTTTACTCTTTTCCCAATTTGTGTATGTGCTCAGGGATATTAGCAAATGAAAAAAATTTATAGATTTGTCAATAAACATATTCAACTGCAATTTCTAGGCATGGTGTTTTTGATAGCTATTTTAATGAAAATACCAGACCTAAAATACAGCTGCTTACCATGAGAACATGGAAGGATTCTGAGCTTGTCTCCATCCTCATATTCATCCAGACAAATGGCACATACATCGTATTCATCTCCTACAGCACATAATTGAGAATATGTTTAACTATAAAAAATTTGCAACAGACAAACACATGCATATAGGTTCTCTGTTGGTTTCATGGGATGAAGAAACTATTGTTCCTCCCTGCCCTTGCAATGGACTATACTATCTTTGAAGCTATACTGTTGACTTTGCTATATTTCTTTACTTATTAGGACTATATTCACTTTCCATTCAGGTTAATAAAAATATTTTCAACTGTGTGAAGCACAATTATTGTAATATTCTCTCATTCTTATTAATAAAGACACAGTGGTAAAGCATCCACTTTCAGGCCAGTTAAAAAAAAAAAAAAGTTTTCTCAGGAAGGACTATGCTGAACTTCTCAAATACAGAGGCCATGAAACTATCTGACACCGCCTTGGCTAACTGCAACATTTTCCTGATTCTTGCCATGGGCTTGTACTCAAGGCCTACCCCATCCCAACATCTGGGTCCCATCTTTCAATTGCACACCAGATCTGAACAGGTCCTCTACGCAACTGCTTCATCTGCATCCACCGGATTCCATCAGGTGCAGTCCACCTGCTCCATTTCCCCAACAAGTTCCTAGAGAAATTAACTAATGTGCTGATTCTTGCTCTCATCCTGGCTTGGGGCAGAAAGACAAGCCTACACAGTAGCAAAGACCAGAACTGCCAGCCCTCCCCAGCGCTCTGAGACTCATAGGATTTCTCTGTGCATCTTGGAGCCTCTACTACTAAATTAGTTAACACTATGTTAACTAAATTAGTTAATTAGTTTCCAAGTTATTTTTACCTCCATGACTATGTGCCTCTCAAAGAATGTAAGGTTTTACATAATAAGATGTAAAGTACAACATAAAATGAAGTATCTTGCTTAGATAAAGCAAGTGGAACATCTTCAGTCAGCAAAATTCTCTTTTACTTGACACAAACACAGTGTTTTCAGAAACAGAATTATCCATCTGGATACATAGTTGTACACTTATGAACAATAGTTGTACAACATAGTTGTACACTTATGAACAATTTAAAATGAAAAAAAAAACAACACCAGAAAAAACTCTGCCAAGACTCTAGCAGACCTTAGGACTTGTTTTGTCTATTAAACCTACACTGCACTATGCAGTTAGGCAGATGGGTCAGTAACGAACAGTAATTAGATCAGTTATAATCCCATTTCCAGAAAAAAAAAAAAAAAAGCTTAGGAATAACTAGTAAACTGCAGAACCATGCATACTCTGGAGCAGATTTTTAAAAGACATTCACATACCACTACTACCCATTATTTCTCAATCGTATGCATCAACCTTCATATAGATGTATATACATAAAAATTCAATATCCATCACACTTAAAAACGTCTTTGCTTAAAATTATATGTACTCCTACAGCCTATTATTTGTCACGCATGGGGCTTCCCCCCCGCGCATATACATGTATACAACTTTGGGCAGCCGACTGCCTGCCATTAAGTTCATTTCATATTTAAGCACTTAACCAAACAGCTCCACTAAGTCTCATAGACATAGCAACTCCAACATTCTGGATACTTTATCACACATTTAGGATCCTAACCTTTGACACTGAATGTAGGAAAACTAACTTAATGAGTTTTTAATTTCTTAATAGTATGTCTGCATATCTCTTTCTTTTCCAGCAGTCTATCTTCTTACAATACCTTCTATTCTGCTGGTGTGAATGGTTACACTATCATTTCATTGCTGGTAAGATCTAAAATCTTTTCATTCTTGGCCTAAATTTCATTTTAGTATAAAGTTAAAGTAGTTTGGAAATAATATATTTCTGAAAATAAGTTGTATTCTACAATACATACCAACTCACAACATTTCTAACCTATATTATTTCTACACTAATATTCTTCAGAGTATTCAGGGTTTCCTAATGATGAAATTATAGGAATATTATACGGGTTTCTTTTTTTTTTTTCCCCTAGGTTCACTTTTGTTGTAAGAACATCACAAAGTGTATCAACTCCCATTAACTTTTATATGGCCAAAATGTAGTCCTTTTGGTAGGGAAGAACCGCAACTGCCACAAAACACCTTCAGTGTAAAAAGTAGATTTTGGACACAGCATGCATTGCATTCTGTGGGATTACTCAAAGGTGAGAGGCTCATTGACTAGAACTGCACAGAAGCTACTGCATAGATGACACATATTTATGAGGTTAAAAAAAAGGAAAAAAAGCTACTTCTATGCAAAGACAGTCAATGAGTCAATGCCATTTTTGTTACTGGACTCTACATAGTATAGAAATGTAAAGTGTCTTATCTAAAGCCTACTGAAATCAGCAAAAAAGAAAGTATTGCTAGTCATGTCATAGGCCTAGTGCAGAAGCTCTGAAATAAAACACGCTTATCGTTCTGCTTTGCATAAGCTACTAAATGCAACGAATAGCTGGATAGTCAAAGACAGGTTTGCTTTAGGATGACTGACTGAGCTCCTAACAATTGATTTTGTGTAAGATTCAGCAAGGGGAAAGAGGTAGAAGAATATGGAAAACAACAAATAAGGTGTCTTCGTGCACTTGCTCACTCATGTAATGTCGAGATAGTAATTACAGGTGCATACATGCGTATGATTAACTGAAAAATGCATTAACTGGCTTTCTCAAAGCCATGCATTGGTGTTGTCCCCCCGAACATTCTCCCACTTTGTATTTTTATTTCAATTAGATTTCACATGGAATCACTAAAAGAAAGCAAAAATAATATTAACTGTATTGGCTCAAGATAATTATTTTTTTCAAGTTAATTTTGTATCCATAGCAATTTGGTCAACCCTGCAAAGGACAAAGTGTTTTGTTTGTTTCCTTGAAATAAGGTTGACTAACATTGCACAAAAACTGTATCCACTCAAACTGAACATCTGTTTTGCACAGAGAGCAATATTATTAATAATGTAGGCTGTCTTTATCAAGGGCAAAGACTGGTAAGTGGTTCTATCCTTGAATCCAAGCATGTCCCCTAACACGGTATTCATACCTCAACAAATCTCCGAGGACTTGTAGTAATCAATCATTTCAATTTAGTAGTCTTTCCAGCATTAGTTCTTGTAACAGTTTTTATGAATGAACAATTGGATGATACGATGGTAACATTTAAAAATCAAAATGGAGAAGAAAGATTGTTTCTACTCTTAAGAAGCAGACTGCAATAGAGGTGGTCTCGGTGCAGTTTTTTTTTTTTATTTCATTCAATAAATTAACTTGCTACAGCTTTATTTCTGATCTCGTCATTAGATATTGCATACAAAAAATTATTAAAAAGAATCACAACAACAAATATTTTGGCGCTCGATTTCAATCACTCTCACCTTCATAGAAGCCCTGTGAGTCAATGACGGGAACACTCCAGATAAGCAGGTAAATTATACCCACAAGATACCTTTGCTTTTATAATCTCTGCCACATCAGGCAACATACATGCCATTAGTATTTATCTAAGTCCAGACAAATTATAGGTATGATACACTACAGTGACTGTTGTCATCACTGTTAATGACAGAGCTGCAAAGAAGTTTGGGGGAATTTCTGTAATGAGTTTTTGACATTTTAAGCAATGTTTTCATTTTTTTACCCACACTCTGCATATGATGTCCACTCTGCTTCTGTGACAAAATGTTAGAACTCCACTTTGAGTGAGAGCAGGGTCAAAACACTTTTTTGTGTGTGCTTTCTATTCAAACTCTATTATTTCAAGCATACTCAAAATTATTTCCAAAACCCCTCCATTTAGAGATATTTGGTATTATAACAGTGGGTTCTAATTAGACAAAGAACAATACACTTGCCTTTCTTAAATTTATGTACAGGAAGTTTCTTAAGCTGATCCTTCCTAAGCCGATTCCTTCTTGCTCTGTGTCTGTCTTGCACAAATTTTGTGATCTGGAAACAGATGTTAGACAATGTGAACAGTAACTTAAAACAATAGAAGAACTGTAAAAGTTTCTGTTTATGAGCCTTCATTGTAAGTTAGTTAAAAGGGAACTGTGGCTCAAGCTGAACCACCGCTTCCCTTTTCTCGAGTATGGACTCAAGGATGAAGCCAAACAAGCCTAAAGAACATTCTTGATTACCACAGCACTTGAAACTGAAGTGACACGCAATCTTTTTAGGAAAGGGAAGAAAAAAATAAGAATGTTCTCAATACATAAAATAATAGCCATTGCTGCGATCCCCTTCTGAGGTCCACATATAGATGGCACATTTCAGGGCAAAACACAATCCATTAAGCTTGACAGGTTTTACTTACGGCAGTTTTAGATTATTACAGCTCTTTTTGAAGATTATTTGAAAAGAGTAATTATAGAAAAGAATTTTTCTTCAAAAATAATTATTATAAGAACTGTTTTCATAGTATCACAAGTAGTCTGGGAAGCAGGGAAGGGGTTTACTTCAAGCCATGTCACTTGCTGTCTTCAACCATACTAAAGATTCTGTTTTCCATTTTCTTTATAGTCCTTAAGCCTATTTCCATTCGGTTTCTAGTCCTAACACAATGATTTTATTTATTTTTTTTTTCAAATACAGCAAAGTGGCCTTAACCTATGCATACACACTGACCAGTCTTTTGAAAATTAGAGAGGTACTACACACTTGACCACACTGTGGATAAGGTAAACACCAAGTGAGTATTAACATCATAAACAGCATTAATCTCTCTCACTTTAGGAATCCCTGAAAGGCATTGTTGTGCTTTCACAAAAGATTTAAAAAAAGACAGTTAAGTATAAAGGTACTCTTGGGAGGGAGAAGGGGAGAACAAATAACTTATTTATCCTTCTGCATCATACCTGTCCTTCATTTTTAAGCATATTTGGAACTAATCTGTTCACTCAGGTTCTTTTTACCTCACCTACATGATGAATTACACATACAGACTGCAGTCTTTCCGGTATAATTCACTTACTAACAATGAGATAGTTTTGCATTGATTTCTTAGTTAAAAACAAAACTTCCTGAAAAGAAATGGGGCAGAAACCACAAGTGAACATGGACAAGATCCTACCTGAAATCTCCCTGAGATCAAGTTCACTGTCTGCATTAAGTAAATGAATTGAGTAAGATTATTTTTGAGATTCTGTAACAGGTTTCAACCAAAGTATTTTTCACATGGGAACACCTAAGGGGTGCTTTTATTATGTCTACTTTGAAAAGTATTTCAATATTTCAATACACTTGCATATTGTTCAACCTTTCAGCATACAGGATGTTATTTCACATTGCATGTAGGGTCAGTATACATTTGTAAATAATACAGTACACTCTCGAAAACACTTTCAATTACCTCTTCCCCTTTTTTTCCCTCACAGTTTATTATAAGTTTGAAATATCAAAATCCATCTACACAGCTTATATAATCTATTTTCAAAAACATCCGAATACCTGTCCCAAATACAAAGTGTTAGGTCAGAGGTTGGACTAGGTGATCTTGGAGGTCTCTTCCAACCTAGACAATTCTGTGATTCTGTACAGGCAGCCCTGACTTGCAGACATACAAGATAATATTCTCCTGGTTCCTGTCTGTTTTTCGTTTATAATATGGTTCTAAGACACGGAAAGGACCGTTCATTTTCAGCACTGACTACCCGTTGATACTAACAGAAGAGAAATTCAGGTCTCTTAGAGTCTTTTAACTGGAAAATATTTCACAAATTCTGTATTTAGAAAAATAGATTTTTAATCACACTTTACAGACATTCCCCTGCCCCCCTTTTTTATTTAGTTTCCTCACAGTGGACAAGCAAGAAAATTAGAAACAGGTTTAAGAGCCTCTGATTTTCCTCACCAAATATTTATTTCCTTCTCATAGCCAATCCTATCTAGCACTGGTTTCTTTCCTTTAGATTGCACATACAGAAATTCTAAATATATATAGAGAGAAGAACTATCAGTAAAGTACAACTTTCAAAATCACATTAAATGAAAAATTGTTTTAATTCAGAGTAGTAGCATGCAGATGAAAAAAAGCTCTTAAAAGGCAAATTTAAAATAATCTGTATTTATGGCTCACTTACTCCTTATTTGCCCTAAAGACAAACACTATAGAAATTTATTTATCTCACTCCTGTAACACTTTTACTGCCACTTCTGATGCAGACAACTGCTATTTTCACAGTAAGGGAAAAGCATTTGCAATTCTAAAGAGAGGTGACCTTTCAGATGGATCAGCCTTGTGTTTGTTACGTAGCTTTTGTTCCTTGGTAATGTGATTGGTGCAAAGCAGTGTAAAATTTAGTCCATTTTCTGATGGGAAGATGACAGCTCTGGAGTGCATTAGGTTATTTTTTTTTGCAACTGATTTATCATCACCTAAAAACAAAAGCAGCTGAACTGGTTTTAAAAAAAATGAAATAAAATATGAAGAAATACCTTGAGAGTAAAACAAATCTCTCTTATTCCTGAGTTTCCACAATGGTGCATATGAGAAAAGTCAAGCTGCCACTCCTCATGACTACAGTTCTCATATGTCCCCCCTCCTTCACTTTTTTCTTTAAATATAATCTAAATCTCTCTTGAAACACGAAGTCCCATAAGTATTCTTACTGACTCTTCATTTTGTAATTAGTATCATTTTGGAAAATGATGGATCAGTGCTTCACAGTATTTTGATAAGATACTTTGATACTCTTCTTCATTCCATTCCTTTGATAACCAGTATCTTGATTGAATTTATAACTCAGGTGCACTGTAAGCAGACAGTTAGTGCAGCTCAAGTCAGAATTCTAATGGTATCAAAACAACAGATGTTCACAGAACATTATCCCTGGTGTCTGCCCTTCCTTTCTAACTACCATCTCTCCAACCCTCAATCTGTTGACCTTCAGAATACAAAGACAGGGCTATACTTTCTCCTAACTAACTGGGACAATGAAGAATGATCAAGGTTATCACCAGAAGGTCAGACAAAATATTGGTAGATTTTACATTTTCTCTAGTAGATAATGTCTCTATGCTGGTTCCACAAAGCTGCTGTAATTCTGCTTGTGCCTAATGTGCCCAGAATTTTTAATTAAATACATAACTGACAGCAGAAACAACACTAGCACAGAGAGAAACATTTCAAGAAGTTTTACGCAGCAGTTGACGCATTACTTCATTTTTATCAAAAGGTAAATTCATGATTAAGTCAGATCAGCAGAAATTCCAAGAAGTGGGGTGCAAAGTATTCTGAAATAATACACAGCTATGTTCTTTTACCTTTTATAGGAAACGTCCCCAACCCTACACATAATATATATGCTGTAAGATATGTGCAAAATACTATAATAAATTGTGAGCTTGCTGTCTGACTACTATACCTGTGATAAAAAAAAAAACAGCGCGAGACTTGCATTGTAGAACAGTGGGATCAACATCAAGAAATGCAAGGTTGGTGGAGTGGGACACATTCTCAATGTACAAGACCACAGGTTGCTCTTTATAGAATGAAAAGGGAAGAACTTATGCAGTGGTAGAGTACCAGGAAGGACAGTTCTCTGGAAGTAGTTCTATGCTGGATAGAACATCCTAGAGACTCCTGACATCCCTTTGCCACAAGTTTGCGTCTTTATTTATTGTACTGAGAAAAATAAAGGATTACAGACAGGTAAGCACAGTATTGGTATATACAGTACACAAAGCTTTTGTTGTTCCTTTATTTAACTTCAGTAGGTGACCACTCTATGATGATTTATTTGTGAGAAAAGATATTATTAAAAGAAGAAACTTACCATAAATATGACAATGAGAATAAGGCAGATCCCTACTATTATTAGAAAAGGGATTAAGTAGTATTCCAAAGGAAGACTGAACTCTGGGATCAACACAACATGGCCACTGTAGAAAGAAAGAGAGAACAGTTTCTAAAACAGGTTAGAATTTAATGAACAGTGAATTAAAGAATAAATGCAATGAAAGACAAAAGTTCATCACAAAACACACTAAAGGAATGTCCACCTATGTACAACAAAGAATTCAGCTTATATTTACATAGATTATTTTATCATTTTGAGTTTATACTTTCTTAGAACACTTTTTTGAGTTAAAACTACTTAATGAATTCAATCATAGATAAAACTAAAGCAACCAGCAAAATAACCTCATAGCTTTGTTGACAGCAGAATGAGAATATATAACCCAATTATCAACAGATACTGTGATCATTCTTATTTCATAGAATCGTCAGAGAATGATAAAATGGTTTGAGTTGGAAGGGACCTTAAAGATCATCTAATTCTAATCCCCCTGCCACAGGCAGGGACATCTTCCGCTAGACCAGGTTGCCCAAGCCCTATCCAACCTGGCCTTAGACACTTAAAGGGATGCGGCACCTACAACTTCTCTGGACAACATGTTCCAGTTGCCTCACCACCCTCATAGCAATACTAAATGTTCAAAAGAAATTCTTTACATTTTGGATTACACTGCAGGTTTGGTCTCAACTCACGAGGCATTGTAAAACACAAACCCTTTTCCTCTGGAGAGTCAGTAAATTACAGTACAGCAACCAAAAGTCTTCTCAGATAATTTGATGTTCAGATAGCTGGCAACCAGATATCTGAATACTAGCATTTATTGATACATAAGGAAGTAAATTCCCATTATTATTCTGTTGGCACAAACAGTCAAACACCTGAGAATGTACAATGGATACAAATGTTAGCAATTCTATTACTACTACTCATATGGAGTCACAATAGTTTCTTATCAAGCAGTTTCACCAGCAAGGTATCTACTTATAATACAGCCTAGTTGTTACAATTAAGTTACTGGAAGGACATCAGAGACCTGAAAAAGCAAGATCATTAGACTAATACGAAATATATCTTTTCCATTCTATTCAAGGTATATTATTTTTTAATAAAAACATCGTGACAACATGTGAAAGTTTTAAACCCAAAAGCAGAAAAGAGCAGTGCAAACAGTCACGCAGCCTTATGGACTAGTCTCAAATGCAACCTGCAAATTCACCTTGCACAGAAAATTACCAATTAAGGATGATGAAGAAAAGCTTCAGTAACTTTATACTATGAATACCTATGTACTCAGAAAGATGCCCAAATTCTATTCACTTTCTACATTTCTGAGCAAGGAATGCAGTGGAGAGCACCAGGGAAATCAATAATCCCTTTTTTCTGTGTCTCTTCCAGAGCAGAAATGCACTTTAAGTCAGAGAAAAGTTAAACACTGAAAATGTTTAAACTGACAGCCATTTAAACTCAAGCTATCAACCAATGAATTTCTCCATTTCAGTGCTTATATAGATACATTAGAATGCTACAGAAAGAATAGATTAAGATATACAGTTCTGTCTTATCAATAGTTTAATGACTGCATTGTGTCCAACATGCTTTCAAGATATTTATTTAATAAAAAGATAAGCACTTAACTTGCTCAAACTAACTTGCTTAGGAAACTAACATATTGTATTCTTACAATTGATTGAGCCCTTAGGTCTGTAATACGCATACTCACAAAAACCTCTGTAATTTTTAGAGCATTGGCTAGACTAACATAATTAATGTTATATGAAAATAAAAGGAGAAACATATGATAAATATTAAGGTAACCCTCTTGCAGGAAAGAAAGTTTTCTGCCCATTGCTCTCAGATAATTAATTTTCTTCTAAGACTGCCAAAAATGAACATGGTACAGTGCCTAGATGAAAAGGTGTTGAATCTTTCAGATTTGACAGATAACTCCATAATTCAAGGTTTTAACATATTTTGCCCCAGTTGCAAAATCCTGAGTTACTCTTCAAATATAGGTAGATGCTGAAGGCTTCTGCACTTCACTCAGAAAATTATGTATGCAGAAATAGTTCAAACTGTGGCTCGATTCACATACATTTATCTACAATTTCACCTATTTAAAGATCAAAATTTTGTATTAAAGTTTGCTTTCATGCATTTTAAATGGCTACACAATACAAAATAACTGTTTCACTTTGTACAAGATAGAAAAGCAACTGTGTACTCCTTCACCAGACTGCATTACTCAGAGATAACCAGATTTTGTTACAACAGAAAAAATAAAGAGAAACAGCAGAAACAGAACATGAAAATTATATGGCTCATAATCATCAATGATAACCTTTATAATGTATGGTTCTCCTATCAGATATTACATTTTAAAATGTCACCATCTGTTCAGGTTCACAGAGCTGCTGTAGAATTACCACCATTAGCCTCTGAAGGACTATGAGCATACTCTAGAACAATTAACACCAAGATTTGTTCAAGTCATTCTTATGACACTGCATGAAGTCGAGTTGGAGGCCACTAACTAGCTCCACACTCCAGGGGTCAATAATGAGTCCAGTTGAGCACAACATCTTCATTTATCATCTGGATGATGGGGCAAAGTGTACTCTCAGCAAGCCTGCAGAAACTGGAAGTACGAACAGATCTGCCAGATAGATGGTTGTGCTGCCATCCAGAGACACCTGCATAGGCTGGACAGGGGCCATCTCTATGTAGCCTCATGAGGACCTCTCTACTTGGAGATATCCACAAGCCATCTTGGACATGGCCCTGGACAACCTGCTCTAGGTGGCCCTGCCCAAGCAAGGAGGTTGGACTAGATGACCTCCAAAGGTCCCTCCCAACCTCAATGAGACTGTGATTCTGTAAACAGCGAAGAGAGAAGAAGGATCAGGGAGTAAAAAAAACGTGGTACTAGTCTGGAAATTACAGGATATTTACTTCACCTTAGAAAAAAACTACCTTTTTAAGACCTAAAGAAATTTCACACAATCAAAAATAGTTGAGATTTTAAGGGACCTCCAGAGATCATCTGGTCCAGCCCCACCGTTAAAGTAGGGTCAGGTATAGCAGGTTGCCTAGGACTGTGTCCAGTTGGGTTTTGAGCATTTCCAAGGACGGAGACTCTACCACTTCTCTTTGGCGATCTGTTCCTGCACTCAAACATCCTCACAGTAAAACTACTGTTTTTAATATTAAATTGGCATTTCTCATACTTCAACATGAGCATATTCACAAATTGATCCTGAAAGGCTAGTAGCTGATACTCTAGAAACTAAAACTTAATTAAATCTGATCTTTTAAACATCCTTCTAAAATTTTTGAAATACTAGTGACCAGTAAACAATGTCAATACATCTTTCTTACAACTTAGGCAGCCAGAAAAAATGCATAACAGCATAAACTTATTACAATTGCAAAATTATATAAATAACAAAAATAAATAGTATTTCTTTTAATCATCCCTTGTTCTCCCACAATACTAAATAAATACCAATGCTGTTTCTCTCATGAACAATGCCTTCAGATAAAACCAAGGGATAGAAGTACCTCCAATACAAAATCTCTATCTATACGTACTTCCAATCTAAAAAGGAAATTGGATACCATATACTGTTCAGCAACCCTGTGGCAGGCCTGTAGCTTTTTCAGTGCAGCTAGAAACCTGAAGGTTTCTTTAGTCCATGTAATCCACAAACAAAAGTTCTGTTCATGTTACTTTTTAACAGGATTCAGGGTTCCCTCAAAAGAGGCCAGGGTCCCTGCAAGGTTCATCTAACTTGGCTGTTCATTTCCTTCAACCCCTGAGCAGTACAGAATGGCTGAGTAATTTCACTGTGATTCTCCATTTTTCCCAGACTCACTCAAATCCAAGTAGCTTCTAAGGTACTTTCACATCCTGAGTTAGTTTAAATTGAAATTTTCTGCTAGTTTACAAGACTGAAGCGCAGCAAGCAGAAAACTGGAAATGTAAGAGAACTTGAAACGTTGTATTTAGCTTTACATGGCATTTCTTCAAAGAAAATATCCAAAACACAGTATCCTTTGATAATGCAATAATAAGGTCAAATATATCAAAAAGCTCATCAAAGTAGTATTCAGGAAGAAAGGGGTCAATAAGCAGCACTCAGTACATATTCTTCAAAAAAAATTAAAAACAAAAATTGGACTGATTTCATCTTTGGTATGAAATCAAATACCACTGCAGTCACAAATGACAGTAGACAGTTCCAAGAACTTTTATTTCATAGTCACAGTTTATCCTCTCTACTAAAATGTTTATAAACAAGTGGGTGCTTAAGGTACACATTAACAGAACAGAAGGTAAAACTATAGATTCAGTGAAATCAGCAGCAAATCAAGTCATTTACTTCTACAGGCACAAGGTTTCACCTAGAATATCCACAGCCTCTGTTATCACAACTCATTGCCTCCTTTTGATATTTATTTCAAATAAGCTATTAATCCAAAGAATAACATGACTGCATGTGGGGGGATAACTTACCCCTTTTCATAAGTAAATTCTTCCTTAAGAGAATTTGCTGATGCCTCTCCAATGAAGACAGAAGGAATGTCAATCTTCTTTAAAATTTCAACTGTATAAAAAAGGGATGAAAAACAGTATTACACAGGCACTGTAAGGGCACTCAATGTAAGATTTGAACAACGTGACACTATCACAACATAAAGATATATTTTAATTTAGTTACAGACTGATGCACATGCATGCTACTACTTTACGTCATATAGTAAAGTGGTACTATTTTTCCTACTGAGTATCTATGAGCTTTATTGCAGGTATAGAAATCAAAATTCATTACAGAATATTACCTTACAAAGGGAGCATACTATTACAAAGGGAACATAGAATACATACTCTGACAAAAAGAGGTATCATTACAGTAAGTTTAACCAGAACATCAATTCTTACTTAGAGACTTGATAAAATCACATAGCTTCACTGATTTCCAGAATTTCTGTGAACTTACGATCTGGTACAGTAAATTTTAATCAATCTTTCTTCCCTTCTTTTCACCCTAAAAATGAATGAACACCCTGGAAAGGTCAAAAAGCAGAAAGAAAAGAACAAACAAATCCCCTATCTTTACTTCAGTCTCAAGAAACTGTAGGGAACTGTCTTCTCTCCCCTTCCCAGTTACTAATGTGGGCAAAAATAAACCCAAAAGATGCAACTGAAATGAAAACCATTGAAAGAAAAATACCACATTCTAGATTTTTTTTTCCTTGGCTTCAATTTGTGTTGATTTTGCACCTCTCACTTATGCTTCACATTTCAGGGTCAAAAGCATCCTAAGTTCGTATCGAAGCATTCTGGTTCCCCAATGCAAAAGCATGCATGGCTTAATGTCACTTCACACTACCCCAATTTGTATTTATTGTGAACTTGCTCTATGTTTGACTTCATAGTGAACCCTGAAAATAAGTTTTATGTGGGTTGGGAACTCATTAGAACTACTTCCACACAGCTGACTGGGCTACTCATCTTCCACTTATTTTGATGAAAGTTAATGTTCTAGTTCACTCTATGGTGTTTCTACTTTGATTTTTTTTTGTTCTCATTCATGTTCTTGCTCCATATTCAGAAACCTGAAGACACTAGACATAATAAAGAAACTCCACAGAGAAAGTCATAAGAGTGTTATAGACAAAAAACATACCATAAAGCAAAATCATTATTTTGACTAGATTGCAAGATGCTTTGAACATAACCACTCGAAGAAGGATAAAGTCAGAACAGCTAGCATCAGAATAAATCAGAAAATGGCACATTGATCTTTGAATTCTTTCTACAAATGAAAAACTGAAATAATACATACATGCGATATGCATTACAGAATGGCCAAGGTTGGAAGAGACCTTGGAAGATCATCTAGTCCAACCCTCCTGCCAAGCAGGATTACCTACAGCACATTGCACAGTATGGCATCCAGGCAAGTTTTGAGTATCTCCACAGAAGCAGATTTCATTTCCAAAGGAGTATTCATAAGAAATAAAAGAATCCATTTGTTCAAAGGAACAGAAAAATGCACTCTGCAGTTCAATAGCAAAATGGAACCACAAACCATTAAGTAGTCATATTTTGAAGTTTCATTTACTTCCAAAAGAGTATTTTTCCCCTGTATTTCTACTTAATAGTCAAAACAAATAATTAACAATACATTTGCTATCTTCCACATCAATCATACAAATCTATCTCATAAATTCAAATTAAAGGTAAACCAAAGACACAGAGAACATACAAACTCAACGCTACGTTTAATACACAAGTATACATGTATGTTCTTATACAAAGAACTCCCATTTTAAAGCATTAAATGCAGGAGGATTTGGGGTTTGGGGCAGTTTTTGTTTGCTGTATGTGTGCTTTTGTGGTTTTGTTTGCTTGTTTGTTTTCTTTAGGTTAAGTGTTTTTTGTTGGCTTTTGCTGTTGTTACTGTTGTTTTAGTCATAGTCCACCATAATACTTTATACAGATTTTAATACTGTTTGCTCTGGTGGGAGAAATGATTTTCAAACAGGAGAGAAGAAGTGATACCTGTACTTACTGTCGTTGGATCCCATGCTTATGAGGTCATCAGAATCAACATTGTGAACTATAGCTGCCTTGTATCCAGCTCTCTGTGCATTTAAAACCTGTAAGCCATACAGAGTACTTATTAGAAAGAATACTGCTTCAAAATGCTGCCTCAGTAACTGCTCTGTCCTTTGTAAGACAAGTGGACTTTCAGGATGTTATCAACATTAGCAAAGTTACATTTTCACTTAGAAAACAACCACCACATTTCAAAACAAAATCAGATAATTATTACACTCATATAATTATATGCTATTCTTCTATTACCTAACAGGAAGTATGATTGAATCTCCTTTTAGTTCATGAAAGTCAATCAACAACAAATTGAAAATCTCTTTTTCTTAAAGCATACTTTCTCGCCCCATACATCAGGTTCATTCATAAGAAAATCATGTATTACAGCCAAATGCAAATCATTCTAATTTCGTATTTTTAAAATAAAAGCAAACACTCTACTTCAGCTGCAGATCAAAGTTTGTACAATACTTTACAATATAACATCTAGCTGTTGTACCGAATATCATTCTCATCCTGCCACTTGTTTATGTCTGCCTGTTTCTGCCAGGCAGCGCACTGTCTCCTCTCCCCATCAACCAACTGTGACTCCATAAAATATCTACCGTGCTGGCAGAGAGGGATTTCTAAGCACAATTCTTAAAGTCCTTGGAAGAAGAAGAAAAAAATAAAAAAACACCTTACCTTGGTATCAAAGTTGCACTCAAGCCTTCGAATTAACACAATAAAAACACTGGTTGAGTTGTCTTTCAGCGGAGGGGGGGCTATAGGCTCACAAGCATTCTCTGGTTTTGAATTTATTAGGAATCCCTGAAAAACAGTAACAGGATATTGTCAGCTTCATTTCTTTGGCTTAACAAAACAGCTGACGGAAAGAAAAACATACATTTTCATACAACAGCTAAATAAATTCTTACTATCAAATCAGTCCTATCATAACAAAATTTCTGCAACATCCCTACTTATTTTTATGAGAAATTTTGTTTCTGCAAAGAATTAGCTAAGAAGAAAATACATTTTTTCCCAATTTTATCATCTGAAGTTGTTAACTCAGACTATGCGCTACAATCCACTATAAAAAGGAACTACTCTTGCGTTAATACTGTGGAACTACTGTCCACAGTATTTTAATGTGTGAAATCAACTATTAACACTAAATTAGTAAACAAAATAGCTGATTTACCATGATATGCAAAGCCTAGAGCTCATGAAATTTGCTACAGTTGAAAGATTCACAGAAGTATGAAATTCTGCAAATACCAACATCATTTCCATTTAAGTAAGGCATGGAGAAAAATGCAGCGTATGTTGTCTTTTTTCTTCCTTGAATTCAACATAGTACACCAGTATTTGACAAAATACTTGAGCTACAAACTCTCAGCAACAAACTTACCTAAGAAGACATGCAGACTATAACTGAATTGATATTCATCTAGCTAGTAAACACTTTTCTAGCTTAACAGCTTACAGCATCACCACATACTTTTTTTAAAAAATAAATTATTTGCTATCTCCTGTTTTATTTAACTCAGATAAAAGTGAGTTTGTCTTTACACCAGTCATTTACTACTGTCACCAGAAGATATGAATGGTTACTACCTTAGCCATCCAGAAAAAGCAGAACATGCTTTTACATTGTTGCCTATAATGCTACATTTGTTCAATCTTATTTATAAGTAGTCCTTTCCCATTTCACCTTGATTTCCCTTCTTTGAATTTTATTCATCAACACATCTTACTGCATTTGAGATCTATTAAGTACAGTAGACACAAAGAACAGGCTATGGGATCGTGTGTTTTAGTTGTATAAAATACCTTCAGGCCTTCTGCTGGTAGTCTGTAGCCAAACCTGGCAGGTAGATCATCAAAGGTCTGGGTTCCATTTTCAAAGTTATACTAAGAGAAATAAATTTCGAAGAAAATTCAGGTTTGCAACAAAAGGGAAATATACAAGTATAAATACAAGTAAACAATATCATTTTTTTAAATTGAAAACATTTATCAGACATAGGACCTTGTGGAACCATGTCAATGAAGTCACAGAATTACTTCTTCCACTGATCTTCCATTCACACAACAACATCATTCTTATGTAGTTGTCAAAGCAAGAAGTTATTTAGTAAATAATAACCCTGTATGATAAATCTCTTTCTACTGTCTACAACTCCAATAACACCATAGTTGCAGAATAGAATAAAAGAACTTTAAGAAAAAACTGAATTTTTTTTTTTATTCCCCTTTTAAATTGACCTGTATACAGAGAAGGACAAACAGCTTTTACCAAGTAGCTTATTGTAGGCAAATAAAAAACTCCATATGTTGTTATCCCCTCTCAATGCCCTGGTATCTATTTAGGTTAGTAACAGAAAACTAGATCTACAGTTTTGTTTTATATTAACAGTGTGCTTTCATTTCCAAATAGTGGAATGCCGTAAAGACCTTAAATCTGGGGATGCTTTTTCCCGCTTCCTCGTGACACCTTTTGTAGCAACACGAGTTGGCTACTCAATGGAGAATCCATACAATAAAAAGCTGAAACTGTACGTATGCTAAAATACGCATTCATTATAAGTTTTTTAAAAAGTTAATTTCTCAAAAAAGTTAATTATACAATGAGTTGAATGCGTATCAGTTGTTAAGTTTTATTAATTCTTTACTGACTCAGCAATATTTAACTGTTCACGATATAATTATTTCAGCGGCTTGAGCACAATCCTACAAATACATGTACTTTTTTGGAGGAAGTTATACAAGATATTTTACATTGGCAATGAACGTTGCCAATTTTTTTTACCACTTTTACCACTACGGTCACTATACTGCCTTACTGTTATCAGCCTTACATCACAAAGATTGTTTAAAACTCTACTAATATAAAATTTAGTTGTCACAGAAATTAAGTTACTTTAAAATACATGTCTCTAGGTGCTGCATACACAAAAACTTTACTGTCAACACGTCCAGCATAGCCATACATAAAACTAACCATGGGAAGAATTTATTTATTTATTTATTACTTTATTTGTATATGGTTACCCTACAAGATAGCAACTTAAGTTTAGGTGTGGACGTCATCTAAATCAAATATGCATGGAATTCATTTAAGAGATTTATAACATGCCACAGAATACCTGTTCATAGTGGAATTCCCTTAAAGTCATTTAAGGAGTGCTTTCACATGTTATCAGAGCACACAACATCTGTTAATTCATTTGAAAACGTATTCTATTTTTGTATTAAGCTAAAGCATTAAAGCAACTCTATTCTAAACAACCTGTTATCAAATTTACAGTACTAATTCCTTAATAGAATAGTTTTGAAGAAGATTCAGTTCTACAGAGATTTCATCTATGTAGAAAAACTTTCTTATACTTACTGCTAAAATATCTGCCTCCACTGGTAAAAGATTCAGGAAAGCAAATAACTGAACAGTCAAAATAGTGTATATCTGAGTGGCAGACAACATCAGCATTCCTATTGACAACAGCATATTTTAATACCTGCAACAACAACAAAAAGAGTTAAGACATATAGCAAATATTTTCCTCTGTCATTTTATTGGTCTCAACTACAATTTCTTCTAAACTATGCAAACAGTTATTCTACATTTACTTTTGAGAGACAAGTAAGCTTTAATTTAGATGATTGTTTTAGAGAAAGAAATCCCTTTTGCTAAGGGCATGTAACCTCTATGGGGATACATGCAAAGAACACAAAAGTTATAGTAACACTTCAACAAGGGTTAGGCAGCTTATGGCAATGGAAGCCGTATACAGGAATGAACTTCTCAAGTTGTTAATCATCCTTAGACATTCTTCATTTTAATCTTTGCTTCCTCTAACATAAACCCAAATCAGCAAAGTTTCTCATGTGCCTGGAGTGATTCTACTAAAAACATTTATTCTAAATAAACACTTGCAAAACCAGTGTAATACCAGCAGGTAACAAACAGCAACTAATTCTATTAACTTCAGCAAAATGCATGAATGTTTAAATATGATTCATGATCTGGACAGCAACAGAGTTCAGTTTGATTCAGTCTCCTGTAAAGTGTGTGTTTTTGAAACCTTTTAAAAAAAAGGAAGACATTCTCTAAAGCATTCTTGTATGCTTTTCATAAGCTAGTGACATTGTAAGAAAGTTATTTTTGCTTTGTTGATAAAAAAAAAAAAAAAAACAAGCAAAAAGCAACAACTTGTCCCTTTGGAAACTGAAGGGCGTGTTTACTAACAGAAACCTTTCTTTAAAGCATCTGATTTATCATTAATCAAAAGGAAAAAAAAAGCAAGGAAAAGCATTAAGAAGTAAAGCAACCATTTTGATATTTTTCCTTTTTCATACAAATAGATTTCTTCCATAAAAATATTAAAAGTACAAGTTAAGGGCCTGAAAGCCTTCCTTGTATGAGCAACAGTACATGCACCCTTACTGAAGTAATTGAAATTACCACTTCACATTAACCTCACAAAAACAGAAATGTGAGTAACATGGAACAAATCAGCAACATTTGCAAGTATCAACTTTATTTTGTTAAAACTGAACTCATCATCAATGCACCATTTCACCAAAGTGCCAGCATAACACGTTCTGTACCAATGACTCGCAAAAATAAAGCCTCACCTGCATAAGCATTTTTAAAGCGTTATGAACAACTGACTTTGCTAGATTTGGATTATAAAAGAACGTATTTTAACTACACTATAACCTAGGCCATGTAGCAGCAACACTTCCAGCTACAGAACGTAAGAGACTGTGCATTTCTGTGTCTCATCCTCTTACAATCTGACTGCACGAGTCTGACTTCTTCAGAAGGACAACTACAAGCACACAAACAGAGTAAATTCTCAATGGGATTCCGCATTATGATCCAACTGAACAACTGACACATCGTCTGCTGGACAGGATATTCAGAAAGAATGACAGAACTCTCTCACACTGAAAACATATTCCGAACAAAGCTACTAACGGAGGGAGGCAACGTTTTAGCACTTAAATACTTTTTCAGTCTTTGAAGAGGACCGTCTTTACAGCAACAAAAAACCTCTTCAGCATAAGGACAAATAATGGAGAATTACCTTCCCACAACAGACTTCCACTCATTAACCTAGGATACAAGAAGACAGGTGTGTACGGCCTGATCATCATTAATTCCCCAAAAATCTGACATCAGAAATAGCCCCATGAGAACACAGTAGTCACTGAGAACCAGAAGAAGCAGTGAGGAACTGAGCACTGAGCTTACGCTTCTAAATGCCCTTCCCTGCAAATTCACAACTTGACACCAAAGATTGGGACCCACGTTCTCCACTGGCAAGTTACACCTGACAATTTCTTTATGTAGTGTTGCTACGGTGATCAACCAGTCTTACAACAGACCCTGATCAGCTGTTTAGCAAGGAACTTTCAATTCCTCTTGGAGTTAACTACAACGTGATCACATGCAGGCAATCTCTTTAGAACACAGAAGTACGGAACACATTATTCCCCTTGCAAAGGCTCACATTTAAATGTAATGAAGTAAAACAAACAAACAAACAAAAAAAACATTCAAGATTCCAACACACAAAACAAAAGCCATGTGATCCAGCAGACCTCCTTCAGATTACAAAACAACAATTGAGTGCTACATTGGTCCGCTGATGTCTAAGTCTCTCTAGCACTTCTAGCAAAGTAAGAAATTACTTGAAATGACAAAACGAAAGGAGTGGTACAAACCTTACACAAAATGACAGCAAATACGCTGGATACAGTACAGCTATACCAGTTACAACAGAAATTCAGAGAAGTTATAAAAGTAAATTGCATGTGCTTAATATTAGCATTATCAGAACATCTGGATCTCCTCTAGCTAGTTTTATTAGCAGAATTCAAAGTACTTCACAAATAATTAAACTAGGTTGCCCAAATTGTTTACATCATTGCTGAAAACCTTCCAAGTGAGGCTTTTTATATAGTTTTACGTGAATTTCATCATACTGAAAATAGCTCATTCTGAAAATCATGGCTGTGTTGACTTCAATAACGAATTTGATTTAATAATGAATTAAAATGCATTATTACTATTGGAAGGGAATGAGTAGTTGTTATTTTTGAAAACAACTCTTATGATTCTCACTTCGTCATTTAAACATGTGATACTTTGGGAAACCTTCAACCTGTTAGGAGAACAGAAGTTACAGTCACAGGAAGTTGTCATAAATTACAAAATCTGTGAATTTTTATTTCTAAATTAAGATTTACCAGTTTCTCTTACGTGTCATTCCTAACAACCAGAACATCAGTGAAACTGAAGGGCACCCATCCAAAAAAAGCCATCTTTTTTAAATATGACAGAAGTAACACTTAAAACTATTGCAGTATTATAATCAATAAATTCAGTACATACCTTAAAATGCACAAAACGCATTAAAATAATAAGTGCTGTTACAAAATACCAGACTAAGTTGTTCATGCAAAAAACATGCACATGCAACCTTCTCCACCAGTTCCACACAAACATACCCAAGAACTATTGCCTCAAATACAATCAATAAAGCCCTACAACTCCTGAAATTCCGTGGTTCATTTATAGACTAGACACTTAATTGAACAAGGTAGCTTATAGCACAGCGAAATACAGGTGTATGTAACTAAAGATTATGTTGTAAACAAAACAAATGAGGTTAAACTTCTGCATTAATCTTGAGCACTTTACATCTGTAAACATTTTCCAGACTATTGACAGGGTTCTCTGAGCTACTCTTGGCATCTGAGACTGCTTTTGTTTTTTTCCCCCTACCACGTTGCATCCCAGAACTCACAAAACTATGGCTGAGCAGTTGCACACCACCGTCACAGGACAGAACAGGAACCTCAGCTCAGAACTGAGGAGGGGAATGTGTTGAGGGCAGCAAGACAACCTTAAGTAACTACATGAACCTAGAATACCTCAGACAAGGCGTTTCCCTTGAAGATAGGGCAGCAAAACAAATTTCTGATTAAGCTTTTTACCCAAGTAGAGCATAACAGCACTTCTCATCTCAAGATTTCACTGCATTAAGAACAGCAGTTTTTAAACACCAATACACCCATTCCCATATCAGAATATATAACCTGAGGGAAAAAGGTTCTTCTAGATACAGTCCCTGCATCCTGTCAAAATACTGGTCTCATATCCACCAACATAAACAAGCCTTGGAAGTAAACATATGACAGAGAACATGAAGAAACTGCTTGTTTTGGGACACAGAGCAGACAGGAATATTCAGAGCTTTCAACAACTACCCTTAAACCAAGCTTCATCAAATGCATACAAACATCAACTATTCCAAAGTGTATTTTTCAGTCAACTCAAAATTTACTTCACAGCAAAACACGACAAACATCAATTCCTTGTCCACGTGCTTATGCTCATGCTTCAGCTCTCAAGAAAACAGCTGTTCCGCTTTCATGGAAAAAAATATATATATTTTTCACATCTGTATTTTCCAGAATGAAGTTATATTTCAGTATCAAGCGGGACTACGAAGCCTAAAGCTATTACAAGCATCAAACAAAGACGATAAAAACTCCGTCCCACAACAAACTCAGCACTAGGGCAGCCGGGGCTGCCACGCCAAAACACAGCCCATGAAGCGCACCTCCGAAATTCCAGGGGCCCAGCACAAAGTCACCCGAGTACCAGCGACAGCTTTCACGGGCACCCCGAACACCTCGCTGCCTGCGGCTTCCCGTGTCCCGGCGCCACCGCATCGTCGCTGACCTCCATCCCCCGCGTCCGAGGCCTGCCCGCAGAACCCAGCCCCCGCGCAAAACGGAACTCGGCGCGGCAGGGCCGGGGAGGCGCGGCCCGCTCCCGCTCCCGCTCCCGCTCCCGCTCCCCTCCGGTGCCTTTCGCCCTCCCGCTGCGCGCCGCGCCCCGCCCGCGGCCTGCCCAGCGCCACCGTCCCCTCGGCGGCAGCCGGGCCCGGAGCGCGCGGGGCCGCAGCGGCCTCCCCCCGCTCACCCGGCCCCACTGCGGGTGTCCGCGGGAAGCCCGGGAGCCGGGGCGGGCGGCGGCCCCGCCCGGCCGCTCGACACCGCAGCGGGCGGCCGGGGCGGAGGCAATAAGCGCTGCGCAACCGACCGACGGCTCCGCAAGCGGCCCGGCGGCCGCGGCGTCGGGAAGGGCCCGGGAAGGGCCCGGGAAGGGGCCGGCGGCCGCCCCCCACCCCCCTCACCTGCGGGCCCGGCGCGGGGCCCGGCGCGCAGAGCCCACGGCCGCGCCTAGGCCGCCTCCATGGCGCTCACCTCCGCCCGGCGGCCGCGGCGGAAGCCCCGCCTCCCCGCCGCGCAGCGAGGGGGCGTCGGCTCGCGGCAGCCCATTGGCCGCTCGGGCCGTCACTCAGACGCCGCCGCGGGACGCTGCGGGGCGGGCTTCGCGCGGCCCAGAGCGAGGCCCCGCCCAGCGCGAGGGGCGGGCGGCGGAGGGCGGGGTCCTGCCGAGCCCCGCTGCGGGCGGGGGGCGCGGCGCTGCCGGGCGTCGTGCGGGGGAAGCCCCGCGCCGGCAGGCGGGGCGCTGTGGCGCGGCGGGCGGTTTCCCGCCGCAGCTGCGGGCGGTGCGTGACAACTGCCGGCGCCCCGCTGGGCTCCGCGTCGCTGCCTGCCGCGCCGGAGCGGTTTCACGGCGCCCGTGCGGCCGGCAGGGCAGCTCGGAGCCACCGCTCCCTGCGTTCTGCCGCGTGGCTCCGCCCCGCTGCTTCGCCGTGAGGCGGCGGCTCGGGGACCCGCCCCCGCCCTCCGCGGTCGGCAGCCGGGGCAGGGAGGGAGGCCTGGGCGCTCCGTGCCGGTACCGGGCAGCGGGGCGCCGTGCGGGAGCCGCGGGCTTTCGGCGCTCCTCCGCGAGCCAACCGCCGCCCCGCTGCCGCGGGAGGCCCTGCGGCGCCCGGCCCGCGACGCCCCCCGGCCGCCGGTCCCCCGGTCGCGGCGTCGGGCCGGAGGAGCGCGTCCCGCGGGCCGCCAGCCCCCCGCCTCCCCGCGGCCTCCCCCGCGGCTGCGGGCGCGGCTCCTTCCGGCCCCGGCCGCGGGCGGCCCCTCCCCTTCCCGGGCGGGCGCGGCGATGCTGCTGGTGCTGTCGGAGGAGCAGAGGGGGCACCTGGGCTGCCTGCCCCCCCTGGGCGCCGCAGGTCCGGCGGCGCCCCCGTCTCTCCGGGGGGGGCGGAGGGCGGGGGGCGGGGGCGGGTCGGGCGCGGCTGCCCCGGGCCCGCGCCGCAGCCGTGTCCTCTCGTTTCAGCCGTCGGCGAGCTGGGGCGCCTGGCGGTGGAGCTGCTGCGGCGGGGCGCGGCGCCCAGGGCCTGCGAGACGGCGGCCAGTAAGAGCCGGGGGGCGCCGGGGGGCGGGCCCCGGTCTGGGGAGCCGGGGGCTGCGGCGAGGCTTCGGGGCGGCTCTGCCGGAGCGGCCCCGGCCCCGGCCCCGGGTCGCGAGTGCGCGGGCAGCGGCGGGGCTGGCGCTGGCGGGCGAGCGAAGAAGGAACGAAACGGGGGCGGCGTCCGCGGCCGGGCGCTGAAAAGGCCGGGAGCGAGTGCCTGGTGCCCTGGCCGGGGGCAATGCAGCGCCCTGCTCTCCTGAGGAGCAGCGCGGCAGCTGCCGCTATCCGCGTCAATGTGTGGCTTGGCGAGCTGCGGCGTGCGCGTGCTGCGGGTCATCCCGTAAGATTCTGTATTTACTTTTCTATCGGGGAGTGCCTGACGTGACTTCTGGTCCCTTGTGTTACTGCTTGAAGGGCGCTCAACTGTCCGCTTTTATTTCTTCCTATAAATATTTTGCCGGTTAGCTTTGGATAAATTTGCAGTTCTGTGTGTTGTCACTGTGGTGGCTTAGTAAGGAATTAAAAGGTGTTTATGCTTTCTTTACAGGAAAACTTAACACTGGTGTTGACACCATACAGCATGGGGTAGAAGGACTAATGTATCTTCTTACTGAAAGCTCCAAGCTTATGGTAAGGATACTGTTGTGTGGTAGATTCAGGAATACACTCACATGGTGTCTACTAAACAATTCTTGTTTCAAAAATACTGATGAATGGGGAAAATCCAGTACAAAATTCTGATACAGATATTTATTTATTTTTTTTAATGGAAGTGGTGTTTCTTCTATCTCTTACTAAGATGATACATCTTTGTGAATGACTTCAGAATTTGTATTCAGTGTCTTTGACGCTAAAACTTAGCATTTTGACTGTTTATAGCAAGAACATTCAGCAATTTAATCTGTATTAGAGAAGTTTACACTTCCCAATTAAGGTCTGTCTACATAACACAACTTTAGTGAAGATGTTTTTTGTGTGTGCTATGCTAACCCCCTAGTAAGTATTCCTTTTGTTGTCTGATAAATTAGGCTTGAGAGCTCCTAACATCAGCAGTTCAGGTGGATGTAAGCAGATATTAAAAGAATGACAGCTGGGTAATAACTCCATTGGGATGCCTTCTTATTATTGATACGGTAGAGTATCATTATATCAATAAGAGTACATGGAACAGGGATGCAGAGACAATTGCAAATTAAACTCAAGCAGACATTGCTCTGAAGAGTAGGTATGGAGGAGAATGAAATACTGCAGAATTTTGCCTTGAAGTAAGGCAACTTGACTGACAGATAAATCGCAGTGGTGTTATGGTAGAATATAGTTGATCACAGAATACTTTTGTATTGTAACATATGACTTTCTGTATTGACTAAATAGCTGCTTCCACAGTGATGAACTGAGTTCATCAGCACAGACATTGACTGCACAGAATCAGTTTCTGAGGACTATCCTGAATTAATACAATGCAAAGCCTTGAAGTCGTGCCTGGTGCTTTCTTACACGTATAGATATGCAAATCATTTCAGAGTATTGATAACTTGAGTATCGACATAACATTAACATACTGTTGATAATTTGATTATGTAGAAATGTGCTTTGTTATGGCAAAGTTCAGACCCTTCTATTGCATTCTGTTTTCAAATTTATAAATGGGCGATTTATGTGAATGATCTGTATTTTCCTAGCTATAGACTTGACCTGACACACTCCTGCAGGAAAGTAACTGCGCTGTACCATATTTATAGCATTTACTTACAGTTTTATTTATTGAGAAAGAAATAACGATTATTACATAGTTCTGTAGTAAGGCCTGAATTGTTAATTTCCAGATTTCTGAGATAGATTTCCAAGATTCCATTCGTGTTCTGGGATTCTCAGAAGAATTGAACAAATTACTGCTTCAGCTTTACCTTGATAATAGAAAAGAGATCAGAAGCATTCTTAGTGAGCTGGCACCAAAGCTTCCCAGCTATCATAGTCTTGAATGGAGACTAGATGTGCAGGTAACTTCTATTATTTTATTGGTAATCAGTATATTTTACTTTGTATTTTTTAACAACACAAGCAACTATAAAGATACGAATTTATGTAGTTTGAAAGTAGTAGAGGCAGCAGTATTTTCATATATTTAAAACAGCTTTAAGAACGTTAGCATATACTAAAATATAATTGGTCTTAAAGTGGATCGGTATTGCTTAAAGATAAAACGGAATAATTAAATAATAGATAATGTATATCTTTAATGTGGATGAATATACAAGATTTTTACACAGGCCTGCAAGCAGGTCCTGTAAACCTGCTGTGAATTGTTGATATGAAAGTTGATAACTGTCTTCTTTTTTGTTGTTGTTATTTGTATCCCTACTCCCATTTCATCTATGCTATATGCAGCTTGCAAGCAGAAGTTTGAGACAACAAATTAAGCCTGCTGTGACAATGAAGCTACACCTTAATCAGAATGAAGACCAAACTGCACAAGTGTTACAAACTGACCCTTCTACCCTCGTCCACCTAATCCAGCAATTGGAACAAGCTTTGGGGGAAATGAAGACAAACCATTGTAGGAGAATAGCACGAAACATGAAATAGTATTAATTCATGACTCTAGTCTTACTAGGCAGTCAGTGTTCACAAAAACATTTCAATAAAAATAAACATCTGGATCAGATGAAATGCTTTCCTGGGCCAGGATCTTGAGCCAGTAATTATAGGCTGAATATCCTCTGGTGCTAACTTTACGCACCTGCCTGATATGATAGGTAATTGCTTTTGCTTTACTTACATGTAGAAATTCATGAAATTTCATATAGAAATTTCATGTAGAAATTCAGCATGTTATACGAATGTTATACAAATAATTTCTTTATCTCTAAATTAGTATAGCTCTACTTTAAAAGCTTTTATATATTAAGTAGAGCTGTCTCAATATTATATGGGACTGGGCATTTATTTTTACATTTACTAAGCATGTTTTTTCTTTCTTTTTTTTTCCTACTGCATTGAAATAAAAATACCTATGCTGGTGGGAATGATACTTTACAGGAATGCTTCTTCCATTTAGACCCATGTATGTGTAGAACAAATCTGTGGGACTGCCGCCCTTGTCCTCCAAAGGGTTCAGTCAACTCAGGCTGGCTGTTAAACCACTTCTACCATTCTCTTCTGCCCAACACCTATTAATTGTCTTGGAAACATCTTCATGAAGCAGTGGTGTATGTCATGAAAACTTAGTTCCTGGCTTTCTGGTAAGACCCGCGCTTCAGGAAAACTCATGTATATTAAAAAAAAATATTATATCAAAAAAAAAAAAAAGCATAAGCAAGCTAATACTTCCATTTAAGCAAAGCTAGCTGTAAGCTCTACTAGGTAAGCTTATGCTTTCTAAAGGTAGCAGTTACTCTAGAAAACTCAGTGGCCCGAGCATAAGTTAGCATACTGATTATTTCTATACGTAAAGGTGATCTGAAAAGTTGCAAAAGTAAAATTGTTGGTTATTACGCCAATTAAGAAAAGGTTTAACTTCTGTTAAATCACATCTTCCTGTTGTGATACAACAGTTTTTTCCTCTACTTGGATAGCGCGCTTATAAAGGAAGACTAGCTAGTAAATGAAGCATTTCTATTTCTTGGAAAGATCTCAAAAGGTTATGTTAAAAACTACTTTTCGTTTGTATTCAAATGCAGTATTTTGTAGCTTTTGTGACTAAGGTCAAATAGTATTACTAATTAATGTTCTACTGTCACTAAGTATCAGAAATCCTATAAGTTATGTTGGAGAGCATAAATAGGCAGGAGAACCTTAACATACAGATTCTGGCAGAAACTATGTATTTATTGGCCTCCATAGTGACACCTTAAATTTCTGTGTAATTGGGTTCCCGCATTCATAATGCATTCCCAAATGCATTATTTTCTCTTTATTTAGAAATGCTGTCTTCAAGAAACACTGCTTCAAATGAAGCCTGAATGGCAAAAGTGATGTAATCAATAACAGTTACTATCACTTAACAAAGTC